AACGAACATCGTCATTCAGGGACAGTCACTCCAAGCTTCAGGTCTTGTTCTTTTCTGCGTGTGATTTCACAATCACTTCCTGGCACAGCACGTGGATTTATGTGAGACTTTGTTGTGTTTGGGTCTAATTTGTTAGCAGCGCTTGCTGTAGATGTGTATGGAGACCCACATACACTTGTGCTGACAGTTTTAGACTGAAAGTGTGTGTGAGAATGTATTTTAGGCCAGGCTGGATATTTTCATATATTCTTACTTCAGTTTTTTTTAGCGGTTCTGTTCCTGGGGTAGACTCTGATGTATGTTAGCTCTGCTTATTACTTATGCTATGTGACCGGTGTTTAGAGTGAGGAAAAAAACAGAGAAAAACTAGTTATTACAGACATTAGAATTTACATGACAGAAAGTTATTTTTTGTTATGCATAATTTCACTTTGGAGTGTAGAAAGAAAGATACGATTTTCTAAGATAACATTCTTACACCAGTGTCACTCTCATATAACAGAAAAATCTTGCTTGTCATCCCATTTTGACATCACAAATTTCTGGTCACCTTGAGACATTTTAACAGCTGTCACTTGTGCAGTCACGTGATCGCAATGTCAATCAAGCATTTTTTTTGCTGCATTTTATTTGAACTTTGAGATGCTGCGATTGTGTGTGATGTTTAAATTATAATGTTAAAAAAATATTTTAAAAATATTTTTATCAGTAAGTAGACATTTCAGGCTAACCCACGTATGGCTGCGACCCGACGGTTGAAAAACGCTGCATCAGCAGCTCTTGTCCTGTAGACTGTAAAACTAAGGAAACATGTGCTGGGATTCTGTGGTTGGAAATGTTGCACAGCGAGTGTGTGTGTGTCTGTATACTTGTGTGTGTGTGTGCACATTTGAGAGTCTGTAAAGTGTGTGTGTCATGTCCACTCTACACTGCCCTCTGCAGGTCAACAACAAGGCCAACGCAGTGACCAGTCCTAAAGACACTGGCCCTGCCCCTGCACTGGTACACACACACACACACACACGACCTCACCTACAGTCGCACCTCCATCGGTAAAACCCCCACAACTCCCAACCTCATGCCACACTGTGGAGGAGGTACAGGTTCAGCCTTTCACACGGGGGTCACAGCAGTTTCTGTTTGTCTCAACCTACGTGTTAAATATTAAACAGGAACAAAGATCAGAAAAAACCCACCAACAGGGGAAAAAAATCACTTGGTGAAATGTTTAACTGACTCCACTTGGGGCTTTCCCTGAATGAAAGAGCACAAATAAGGCTGAGGTGAATGCACAGCATGTTGGACCATGTCACATCTGATATGAGGGATGAGAAATATGTTTAGGTTGAGTTTGTTGATTTTTGCTGAAAACCTTATGTTTAAAATGGTCAGATTTGGTTACAGTAGTATCCTTTGTCTAAACATGCAATAGAAAATAAATAGATAAATAAAAAGAGCGTGAAGAAAATAAATTGTTTTTAGGGATGTGTTAAATATTAGCTGGTTTTTGCAGCACACAGAAAGAAATGGGACAGAGGCAAATTCAGGTCACATCTCCTTGGTTTGTAAATTTGACATTTCAGTCAAATGTCAACTCAGGATACTTGCAGCATTTGTGTTATTTAGATTCTGCTTTTTTTTCTTTTCTATTTTTTTTTTTTTTGCTGCACTGAACCATTTCCTTCATTTCTTTCGTCTCAAGTGAACTTTGGTCAGGAGAAGTCAAGAGTGAAATGAAACCAGATGTAAAATCCATCTTTGTATGACATTATCTTAGTTTATTTTTTGGATGCAGCAACATCCTTAGTCTGACTCTAGATCTCTGTCCGACACATTTTACAGTTCAATCTCATATAGTCAGCGAGAGAGATTCTAGTTTTTTAAGCGTACAGACTTTTCTTGATATTAGGTTGGTAGATCTGTAGTCATGGGCCGACCTTTACCTCACCCCCACCGACCCTTCAGTAACTCTTCCTGTCTACCTGTGTCTGTGCAGACCTACACGATGCATGAAAACTCTGCCATTAAACGAGATTTTGTTGTTTTGCAAAATAATTCAAGCATGTGTTTGTCAGTTTGACTATCAGACCAGTTTCTCTTTGCATGGCATGTCTGGTCTGTAGACTGTGTTGTGTGTGTGACCGTCACTGGTTGGCTTGCTCCTGGTGTCTGTTGCTGACTGGGTGTCGACGTCAGGTCACATGATCGCTGCACTGCATGATGTCAAAAACATTCTGTGCTCTCATTCGCTGTCTGGATGATTACGCATGAACACAGGCACATGGCATGGTCCTCTCACTTTGTCTTACACACACACACACACACACACACACACACACAGATGCAGAGTGATTCCTGTAAATCACAAATATCTGATTACCAAAGCAATTTCTTGAAAAGCAAAAGGAAATGGGAAAGGGGTTTTTACATAAATGAAAATGATAATGAAAAAAAATTGGGTGATATGATTCAAATGAGATGAAGTTACTAAGTGAATGTTTTGATATTTTTTTCACTAAGAACACCAAGGTTTTCTTCTCAGATCATTTATTTGAGGAGTGTTAACCCACCGAAGGACATGGAATCCTCTCATTGTGAGGTTTTATTCAGAGGATTTGGGTTTTAACAGTTTTTCTGAAAATAGAAAGGGACTTTTTTTTACTTTCAATTCAGAAAGAATTATATAACTGGAAAATACCCATTTTTAAATAGCAGAAAACAATCATTTGACCTATTTTTTTATTAGTTTGAAGCACATCTTTAGAAATATGTCCTCTGGCATTGACCCCAGACCCAAGGTCAGTCAATACAGTATATTTATTGAATTAAAGTCAGAATGGACTGGAGCAATCAAATATGATTTAAGATGGGGTTTTTTTTCAAAAGAAAAACAAAAGAAAATATTTGATTGTATTTTGTATATTCAGTATGTGGTTCCTCATACTGGGACCTTTTGGGTGTAAGGCAGATATTTAAAGCAGGCATGATAAATGCTTCTCTGTGGAACCTCCATTAAATGGATAGATAGATAGACGGCTAATAATACGAAAATTACTGAGTTAACTAACACCAATATTAAAATTCACATTCGCAACTCACTACCAAACCCATAAATAAATCCCATAAATACACACACTAGACCATCTGACTTTTAGAACTGTTTCCCACGTGTTCTTTCTTGCCTGTTTTCTCCAGGAACCACAGACAACTGTGATTCACAACCCGGTTGATGGGAACAAGGTATTACATCACAGCCGCTCCTGTCATTTCAGTTACCAACACTGTGCTGGTTTGATGCAGCACCAATCTGCTCCTCAGCTTCTGTACCCTTTACCAGAAACTAGTGCTAATATTTGTGCATGTGTCTTCATTCTTCAGGAGTCTGTGGAGAGCGCTAACACCACCATAGAGGACGAGGATGTCAAAGGTAAGGATCATGTGATGAGTTCTCCTCCAACACTTCTCGTCAGGCTGATGGATTTCTACCAATTGTGTGACGTTGTGGCAGCTGCCGTCTCTTCTTGCACCACACACTCCTCCCTGCTCTTCTTTACTCTGTCCTCCCCACTTTATCAACTTCCTTCTACTTTATATCAACAGAATATGAAGAAATGTGTGTGGGGTATCTAGTTTTTCATTTTGCTTATGTTGCTGATTTTGTTATTACTAAATATGCATTTTTCTGTTTCCCCTCCCCTCCCTTTTTTTTATGTGTCAATGAATTTCCCACAATAATGAATGTCCGACCATGGGCGCTTGACCTTAAAACAAACCCTGTCTTCACCAACCCCACACTCGCAACACATAAACACACACAAACATGTCCGACAGCTCTTCGTCTGGGCGGATTAGTGAGTGGTCTCTTGAGCTCCAAGAGCCGTTCCTCACAGATGTCTGACTCCAGACAGACGCCCACCTCCTCAGTTCAGAGTAAGTCTTCCATGTTGATGGAGGTGACACTTTCTCCTACAGTATGTCATAATTGGATAACACTTCATGAACATGTAGAGAGTGTAGTTTTCCAGTCGACGTTTCATGTACTTGCTGTGTTTCATGGACGACTACCTGTGCCAGTCCAATACTTTCTTAGGCTGTTAATATCATGTGTACTCTGTAAGGATGTACTTTGGACATCTAACCGTCCAACAAATATTCTGATTCCACAATTATTGTCATAATTACTAATAAAAAAATAATATCTGCCACAAATATACAGTTTCCTGAAATCACCTATATCAAACTCAAGGCCCATGGGCCATACCCTGCCCGCCACCTCATTTTATGTGGCCCACCAGAGCTTAACACACATTTGGTGGTTTTGAATAAAACTCTCTTGTATTAGTCCATACTAATGTTCAATGCAGTGGTCAAATTCTGCATGTATATAATATATGTGTGGCATTTTTAAAATTTGTTTTATTGAGGAAAAAGTTGTCACCGTCTGTTCAAAT